ACGTTAACAGAAAGAAAATAAAGACATGATATGTCTAATGAACAGATATACAGTTATACACCATTAAATTGCAGGATGCATTCGGTGCAAGTCGCCTCTCTCGCCCTTGTCATATACCTATTTTTTTATTATTAGAAATTTATGTTTCCTTACATAGATGCAATTGTTATTTTTATTCGATCAAAATTAACATAAATATTATACCACACGTTTATTCTTATACTATAATAATGCTCCAAAAATTAAGTAAGCAATAATTATCAACTGTAACGATAAAGTAAATAATTGAAACACTATCGTGTTGTCTTGCCTCATCTTTTGGTTATTATTGCATTCGACAACAAGTTGCTTCTAGAAGTCAAATTTTGGATCATAAGTAGCGAAGTTTGGCAACTACACGATTCATAGATGTACATTAGAGTCTAGAAGATGCTAGTGGTTCGATGCATATGTGGAAAAATAATAATAAATTACAATATTTTTCATTTTTGTCAATTCATCAACGACCCATGGTAATTGCAAAATTCGGACAATATTTAGACCCATCAATAGGTTAAATCATTTTGGCTTAAACTTGTCTTGTTTAATTAATTAAGTTAATTAAGTGCTTAAAGAATTGAAATTTAGCATGCATCTTTAATTAAAAAGATTAGAAATTTTCAATCGATCATGGTCTATTAAATAAAAGGGTTAGACGTCATATCTATTTTTTTCAACACAATGTATTGATGAACAATCTGTGTTCGAGTTGACCCATTTAAATTTAAACAAAAAGAAAAAAAAAACATAGAGATACTTAAACAAGTCACAAGTAACTTATCAAAACTAAAAGGAAACATAACTATAACTACATAACTCAATTAACTCATTTGTCTAGATAACGCTTTTAATTCTAAAAATATGGTACGCAAAACTAGCTAGTAGTTTGAAGGTTAAAGTTGGTAGCTGCAGTTTGATAGTCGGTAGTTCGAAGCTGATAATTAGTAGCTGAAAGCTATAACTTTTACATGTACAAAAATGTTCGAAAAAATCGTGTTAGCTTTTAAAAATATAAAATTACATAAAAATCAAAAGCTAGAAAGCTAAAATTCAGCTATTTGAAGTAACTTCCGGATTAAAATAGCTTTTGGAGTATAAACTTTTTATAAAAAAATTAAAATTAAAAGACCTTACTGACGAAAGAAGATTTTTCTTTATTTCGGATTTCTCCTAAAAGTTAAAAGCCAAAAACTCACAAAAGTTTGTGCCAAACACAATCATAAACAACTTTGAATAAGAGGGGTTAAGCCATTGTTAGAAAATAGGGATGAAAGCATGGTGGTTTGATAACCGAATATTGCTCCTACAAATCTTTAGGATCATTGTAAAATTCAGTCGTAGATATTTCAAACCCTATACATGGGAATCATGATAAATCCTCAATGGACACTTTCTGATTTGGCAAATTAGAAACCAACTTACAAAGTCAAGTAGGAATGTTCAAAATTTAACAAGAGAAAGTTCCAAAATTAGCAAACTATGAGTATTATAAATAAATAAAATAGAAATCTCATATACATAAATTGAATGGTTTTAAAATACCATATGCCAACTCCAACAAGTGACTTCAAAAAACTAATGTTCCACAAGTAGGCAATATATGCTATATATAATAAACTCCTACCAAGACACTTGCTTTTAGTGCCAAATTCTAACCAAATCATTAGAAAAAGGCACAACCAATTCTACAACATATAATCCCCCTATACCCCCCATACAATCTAACCTTTTACAATTATACACAACCACCCAAAAAACAACTAATTTTTTTTTCATTTTCTTTTTCCCCCATAATAATCATCAAAACAAAAGAAGACACAACATCACACAACACAACAAGAAAAAGCAAATCCGATTCAATGATCTATCCGCTTGCATCGCCTGTCTTCTTGCCCTTTGAGTACTAATCCCTGCTAAATTGTACGAATTGGGATACGCGAATAAAGTAGGATGCAAATTATTACCCGAATTACCAAAAATCCTTTCATACACAATCTCCCCAAGCATCCCAGTTGTAGGACTCGTTGGATTTATCAAATTTGTCATAGTCATTCCACCTCCAATGTTATTCATGGATAAAGCCATTGGTGTTGCTTGTTGATAGCTTCGATTATGATGAACTTGCTGAGCTGGCACGATTTGGAGGTTCGATCTAGGGCTAGGTGGCCTACGTGGAACCGCGATGTCATTGTCAAGATTTTGAATTTTTTGTTCGGTGGTTTGACCGCGTCCGTATAATGGGACGATAGTTTTTTGGGAGATTTCGGTTTTGCAAACGGGGCATTGGGTTTGGGGATTTTGGGTGGTTTTTTGGTGGTGGATCCATTTGTAGATGCATGGCCAACAGTAGAGGTGTCCACATAGGGTGACGACTGGATCTTGGACTGAATCTAGACAGATGTTGCAGTCGAATCCAGATGAAGGGTTGTTAAGGGATTCGTCGATTGATTCGTTTGTGGATTTCCATTTGTTTAAGGAGGTGTTGTCTTCTTTGTTGAAGGTGTTTTGTGGGACTGGATCTTGGAGGTATTGATGATCCATTGATTTGTGTCTGAATTCTGAAACAGAGAAAAAGAAAGATTAGGGATTTGGGACTTTACTGTGGATTTGGCATGTGTAATAAGATATTTAAATTATAAGTAATGTTGGAATAATATTGTACGAAGGCAAGTAGATAAGGCATTCAGTTTCCTTTTTGATACTTTGCTAGAGATAAGATAAGGTTGCCAGCTAATCAAATTGTTTATAAAAACACTTAAAGCATATGTGCATTTTTATAAAGTTTAGATCTTTTTGATTGCTTCTAAACAAGAAATCTAAAAGGAAAGATTCAAGATTAACATGGTTTTTTGGATAAAACTCTGCTTTTTAGTGCCTGGTTTCTGCTCAATTGGGTATGTCCTACACCAAAAGAAGTCCTACACTTTTAAAAATCGATGAAACAAATTAGGGGTAAATATAGCAACCATCAGAGTCATAATCAAATTCGATGTGAATTGTTTATTATCCTTTATAAACAACCCCAGAAACCTTTAAGAAAGTAAGAAATTTTGATGATTGCGGGATGCTTTCTTTTAATCCCAGAAAAGGGAAAGAAAACAGGAAAACTTTTTCGCAAGGAAAAAAGAAACCTCAAAATCATATTCGTCCCCAAGCAAACGTTCGATGCGTAGTGATCCTTTTGACCATTTCAATAAAAACGGTATGTTTAGTTTGTAATTTCAAAAAAATTCTGGAATTTGTTAAAAAGAAAACATCGCATTGAAACAATTGATGAACAAAAAGAAAACCTAACAGGCGCTGGAAATTACAATCAAGCGAAAGAAGATTTCATGACCGTAATTCGTTACAAACTCTTCATCAAGGTGAAACGAGCTATCACAAATCGTTATGCAGCCAGATTTTAAGAATCAGAAAACATATCTAGGGTTTCGATCCCCATGTCGGTTTCTCAATTCAATGCAAAATTAAACCCTTTCGAATTCACACTTAATGCACAAAAATGATTCAGAGAGGGTAAAGCTTACCTCGAATTCAAGAACGGAGAAAGTTTTCTGATGGAAAATCTCGAAATAGAAATTGAAGAATTGAAGAAAGTAGTTTGGATTCGTGGATTTATGGAGAAGAGAGGTGGCGTATGCGTGTGGAGATTGAGGGAGAGAGATATGCCATTGCTTTAGCAGATTTATTTATATAGAGAGAAACTGAGAAAGAGAGATGCCAAATTAAATTAATTTCCGACGTCCACCGAAAATAATAGTATATGAATATTAATATTTTATAATATACGTGTTCACATGATATCTAATAACAAAAAAAAAAGTATATATTAAATTAAAAATAGAAGACTTATAGACAAGACAGTTTAAAATATAAATATTATATTTTCCCATAGATTATTACATAACAAATTAATAAAATAAAGTTGAGTTGTAGACAATTTTAATAGCAACTAGAAAAGGACGCGCGGCTCCGCCGCTTTTGGACTATGTCATAGAAGTTAAATATCGGCTAACTTTAAAATATGTATTGAAAGTGTAAATCGCCACAAATAAGGGAGAAAACCGACACCCCCTGAAATTAGATTTCAAAAGTGTACAAAAAAAAAAGAACATTGATGGAGAAAAACCAAAAATGTTGTGGCTATAATGTAAAAGTTGCCAAAGTTGGAAAAATATGGTGGCAAAAGTCTAAAGAAGGTTTTTGTGTTTTTTATGTCAAAATGTAAAAGTTTTGACTGCAAGGTTGAAAAGTGTCAAAGTCATTAAAAATTTATGGCAAAAACATCAAAATATAAAAGATTTGACTGCAAGGACGAAAAGTGTCAAAGTCACTAAAGATTTATGGCAAAAATCTAAAGGCACAAAAACTTAATCAAAACTTAAAAATATAAAAGTTTTCACTTCTAGAACTAAAAATGTCAAATTCATCAAACATTTGTAGCAAAAACCTAAAACAAAAAAATTACTATTCATAAGGTCCCTTGGATTTAATATATATATATATATATATATATATATATATATATATATATATAATATGTCACTGAAAGTTGTTACAACAATAAAGTTATTTTGAAAGGCCGTATATGAGTAGATCGGTCTTGTTATATAGCCAAAAACATTACTATGATATAGGTTATTATTTATTATATTTATAAATATTTATATAGTAAATTATTTTATTAAAAGATGTATAATCCCTAACGTATAACAAAAAAGTTAATAAAATGAATTGCATGTTAATATTTTAGTAGCACGATAAATTTTTAAATTATGTATTCTCATTTTTTTATATTTAAAAAAATAAAATAGTAACTTTATATTATAAATTTCCAAGATTATTGAAGCATAAATTATCATACAAGTTATCTAAGCCTCGTATAGATTAGTTGAAATACCCAATCGAAAACATTTTTAAAAAAGTGTTCGACATTAACGTACAAGTTAGCAAAACTTAAAACACCTAAAGAACATCCTCAAGAAGTGGAGATCCTCGAAGGCCCAAAAGTCAGACTCCTCTATAAAGATGCTTAGAGACAAATTTGAAGACCTTGAATTAGCTGTTGAATCTCACACCCTTTTTGATCAGGAGTTAAATTCATGAGGCGAGGCAAAAGTCAAAATACAGGAACTCGAGCATACAGTAAAAATGGATCTACAACAAGAAAACCAAGATAAAGGGGCTAAGTGATGGGGACGGAAATACTAGATTCTTTCATGGCATGCTAAAAAACAAATAACGAAAAAACAGAATTCATGGCTTGAACATAAATGGTGTTTGGTCCTCTGATCCACAAACCATTATGAAGGAGGTGTTTGAGTTTTTTCGCCTGAAAATTCACGAACCATGGCCAAACAGACCTAAACTTATCAGCCCCCTCTTCAAGAAACTGCACCCGGACCAAAGTTCTATGTTGGAGGCTCCTATCACAATCGAGGAAATCAATACAGCAATATGGGAGTGTGGTTCGGACTAGGCTCTGTGACCCGACGGATTTACATTCAACCTTATCAAACATAAATGGCACACCATGAAAGACAACATTATTTGATTCATCAGGTTTTTTGAAGAGTCAGGGCAGATTTCTCAGGGATGCAACGCTTCGTTCATCACACTTGTTCCAAAAACCTCCGACCCCATCTCATTGTGTGATTACAGACCCATTAGCCTCATTGGATGCACTTACAAAAGTATTGCCAAAGTCCTCGCTAACAGATCGATGAGGGTTATTGGACTCATTGTTAATGAGGTGCAGTCGGCTTACATAAATGAGAGAAATATCATTGACGGTCCACTTGTAATGCGTGAAATCTACACATGGGCTAAGAAATCCAAGACATGGGCGTTTTTTTATTCAAAGTGGACTTTAAAAAGGCTTTCGATACAGTAAACTGGGGTTATTTAGATTCAGTGATGGAACAAATAGCTTTTTGTAGAAAGTGGAGAAATTGGATTTGTGGGTGCCTATCTAGCTCAAGGGCTTCAGTTCTTGTAAATGGTACATGTGACATCCCCTAATTTCTCGGCCAGAAAAGACCGATTTAATTTATGCTTTTAAACTAAAGTCAGAGAAATTCTTTTAAAAGACGTTGCGGAATTGGTCCCCAAAACAAAACGTGATAAAAATTTATCAAAA